CAGAAGTCATCACCCCTTTACTATACAGCCCTTTTGTGTTCTCATAGGCCAGGAATTCCTCCTTTGAGCTTCTCCACTGTAAAAGGAGACACTCAAACTGATGCAAAATATACTGTGTGTTACTGCCAGATGTGCACTATACTTTTCCCTCGTGCCAGGCCAAATGGCACTTAGCATCTATTTTACACAGGGCACTCAGTTCACCAGAAGTGAGTGTGCTAAGCATGCTCAACACCAAGCTGAAAATGAAGACCTAGTCTTATTTGGGCAAAACTAAAGCAGTTTTGCACAACCAGGAAGCACAAGGTCTGCGAATACCATCAATGTTTTGGGGAAGCGTTAGACATGAGGGTAATGCACACTAATCAAGAGACTCTGGGAGAAAGGGTTTGTAACACAGCACTTTCAGGAGGACTGGAAGGGATGTTTATATAGCCAACGCTCCTAATATCAGGAGTGGAGGTTTATTTTTGTTACAAGTCTGCATGGCCTAGCTGTCAGACTGGCTCACAGCAGGATGCTTTGTTGGGGAAGACAGTAAGGCCACTGGACACATTTATGGGTCCAAGCACTAAAGATTGTTAATGTGGATCGAGTTAATCTTGTGTATACTTACTCTAACTCAGAGCGTAGAGCACTGCTTTCACCATGGTTAAAACAAAAAACAAACAGGCAAGTGAACGTTTTGGAAGCTACAGGCAATGGTGAAGTGAATGCCCATTTCACCTCCAGACAATAGAAAAACTTACCTGCACACTAGGGTGGCTATGATCACACACCAGGCAGTGCAGCAGCAGTCTGCATTTAAGTGCTCTTCACTTTTCCGATGGCGGCAGCACAGCCAGAATGAGTAGAACAGGAGGAAGAGGAGATCCAAAGCAAGGCAGGACAGGGCAACACCACCCAACAGCAACAGGGCCTGCGGAAGACAAATCCCAGTTACCTCAGAGATATCTGTAGAGAGGTGACAGATGGCTTGGTGCAGTCGCATGGCTTTGAGGGTACAGAACCCCTCCCCACCTCAGAACTTTTACAGAATAATTTTAGATTGATTTAAAAACCAAAAAAACGCAAAGAAAACCCAAAGCTTCTAGCCCATGGGTTGACAATGTTTTTTGGGCAGAGTGCCAAAACCCCTGCAACCTCAACTTGGAAGATGCTGGCATGCCAGGGGCAGATGGCGGGGGGGCCACGAGGAGCCTGATCCTGGTTGGGGCTTTGCAGCCCTGGCCCCTTCCCCGCCATCTGCCCAGAGGTGCGCATGCATCCACCACTGGCAACGAACCGAGCCAGGGCTCCACGGACCCCAGTGCAGACGCTTGCAGCCTCCTGACTGCCTACCACAACTGGGCCAGGGTCTGGGCAGACCCCTGCCACCAGCCAGAGCCCAGGCTGCAGACAGCTGCACTGGGGTCCATACAGCCTCGGCTCGGCTTATTGCTGACAGCAGGAAAGGGGCTGGGGTCAGCATTTTCAGGGCCACATGGACCCCAGTGCAGTTGCTTGCAGCCTCCCTGCTGCCTGTTGTGAGCAGCCCAGGCTCTGTGGCTGGTGGCAGGGGTCTGCCCAGAGCCTGGGCTGGCTGTGGCGCGCTGAGCAAAACGGCTTCACATGCCACACTCTGGCATGTGCCAGGAGTTGGTGACCCCTATTCTAGATCATATGGCTTGGGAAATAGCCCTACCATCTCTGTGCCCCCCACACCGGCTTTACGTGCAAGCTACAAAATAGCTGATGCAGCCGCAGGAAGACAATAGTGGGAACAGCCTGAATGAGTCAGGATTTCCCTGTGCGAAACCAGAGCAGGGGTCAGTGGTGGGGCAGTCATCCCCAGCTGTACTCCACCCCCCCAAAAAAAACACCCTACAAGAGCAGCATGTTTCCATTTGCATAAGTCCTTTCATCTTCACACACCTGCTCACAAGAAAGCCAAATGCAGGACTGGGTTTGAAACAGAGGGTGCTTGTTACCCATGATTGGAGCCTTGGCTTCGAAATAAGCCTGGGTGCTGGCTGTACCACCACGTTCTCCCAGACAGCGCATATAAACACACACCTAGCAATAACAACAGGCAAATATACAATAACTACCAAGTGGCCAATGTCAGAACTAGCTTCAATATCTACTCCCAATCTTGCATCTATTGTTTTCTTTCCAAGGCAGCCAACACGACGCTCCAGCTTCCAACCTTTTGGTCATACTCTTCTGGCAAATCCCACATTCACCAAGAAAAAACAAAAAGGTCCATTCAGAGCATTCGAGTCATTCTCCCACATTAATGTAGTCAAAAGGATATTTCAGCTGACTGCTTGAGCCCCACTGCATCTATTTAAGCCATTTTTAATCTGTCGGCATTTAGATTACCGAAGTCCAGATTTTGTCCAAAAAGCAATTTAGTGATGACCCAGTCATCTCAGATACAGATCTATACCAGCAACAAAGGACTTTTTTTAAGTCACTGTCATCTCCCCAATCTTTTCTTCCCACACTACCAACCCACATCCAATTAAAAAGAATTATTTGATTTTTTTTTTTTTTTTTTTTTTTAAAACAATAACTCCGGGTCAGGAAACCGACACAAGCAACATTACAATTAAACCAAAGTGAAGGTCATTTGTTACAACATGGTTATAACCACATGGTAACTCCATCTGAAATAGACTGTTTATAGATTTTTCCAAACTCCCCTTTCCCCATTTCACAGATGCTGCAAGCTGTGCTATTGGCCTGGCAAAATTTGCAAGCTGCCCAACTTCTCAAAGTCCTTTCAGCCAAGCCGAACGTCAGCATTTGCAGAGCCTGGCACCCATCAACTGTGTATCCAGAGCTTGGACCTGTTCACACGCTGCCTGTTGCAGAAACATCCTATATGGGAGCATATTTATCTCAAGCTTTTAAGAAACCAACTCAGAGTTAACTAGAAGTCTATCTAGAGGAAGGAGGGGATTGCTTTGCAGGCCATGATTGCAAAGATAAACAATGGAGCATAGAAATATAGGCAGTTATAACAAACTGCAGAAGGCAGGGAGAAGGGGGGTTGATATGGAAGTCGCACCAGATGGTGCATGCAAGTTTGAGTTGCTGAACACAGAGGCCTTCAGAAGGGGAGACACCCATGCTTCCCCCATGTCCAGGGACCTCCCATCTACTAGCACATAGCTAACTACCTGCACACGCCACACTGAAACTTCCCTGTGGTTTCTCTGCAGTAACGCAGACTCTTCTACCTCAACCTACCCAATTTAGCTTAAAAGGGTGAACTGTGAGGCTGTTTGTGTGCTGAGCTGCAGCTTGATCCAAAGGGAAAGGCTCTTGTGTAAGGCCTGCAGCCACAGAACCAACCATCCAGTTGCGAAAATGCAGCTTGTGTTCGTTTTGCTGCAACTCCAGAGCTGAACGAGTCGCGGCGCTCCCTAGGAGCAGGCCAAAGAACTAACTTCGTTTTGCAAAGAAAGACGACATTTTCTTTCCAACCAATGGACCTGCACCATGAAAAAACCAAAAACAAAACCTGAACTCATACAGGCTAGAATGGCTAATCCTTTTAAGTGATGACTCAGTTTAGAGCCCAGAGACAGGCTGTCAATGAAAAACCTCACTTCTACTAGAGACAGGCCGGTGCCTGCTTGCCAGGATTAAGCTACAATATTTTAAAGAAGAGGTTGCAAGGCTGGATAAAACCTTTAGACAGTTTAGCCAGCAATACTAAATCCAGGCCCGTGATATCCAAGGCTACATTATTCCGAGTAAATGTAAAATTATGCACTGGGCCTTTTGCCATGGAAAAGCAGCGATTCATCTTCCAACATTTGCTAAACTACCAGATCCATTATAGCAAGGATGCATGAGCCATACTTACAAAAATATGGGCACCACTTGGAGGGGCAACATTTTACCACTGGGCTGACATTAATAGCAGAAGTGGAGATAAAGCAATCCCTGAAATGGAGTGTAAATCCAAGCGGTAAGAGCCAGGCTAGCAGCTGCCCTTGTAGCAAACGTCTGCAAAAATCAAAGCAAATAGCAATGCGGATGGAAGTAGTGGCTGTGTAGAGATGTTAAGACTGAAAGACACCAGGGCGACGTCCATTCCAGAGACTCCACTCAGTGAAGCTGCCATCTTTAAAAGACTCCCATTGCATTTCCAGCTGGCTCAACTTTAAAACAGATACCTGGCATCAACAGCAACATTAGAAAGGGGGAAAAACTAAACCCCACATCACACAGCAAGCCTCACACCTGAGGAATACACAATTCCTAAGGCCAGATGAATCATCAACAGAATCCCATCATGTGGCTGTGACAGATGATTATATGGTCAGGTGGGTGGCAAATTGGCTAATGGGATGTACCCAGGGAGTGGTGGTGGAGGGGGCAGTCTCGACTTGGAAAGATGTGGGCAGTGGTGTCTTCCAAGGCTCAGTCCTCGGGCCAATGCTGTTCAGCATCTTCATCAGTGATTTGGACAAGGGTGTGGCGAGCACATTGTCCAAACTGGCGGATGACACCAAGTTATGGGGCAAAAGTAGACAGACACTAGAGGGCAGGGAATGAATTCAGGCAGATTTGGACAGGCTGGAAAAGTGGGCAGAACAAAACAGGATGTAGTTTGACAGGGATACGTGCAGAATACTGCACCTGGGGAGAAGGAATCACTAACACATACAGATCAGGAAATGACTTGCTAAGCGGCACAGCAGCAGAAAGGGAACTCGGAGTCATATTTGACTTAAAATGAACATGAACCGACAATGTGACGAAGTGATCAATAGAGCCAACTGCACTCTATCATGCATTAAAAGGTGCATCAAGAACAGGTCTAAGGAGGTGATACTTCCCCCCTATGCAGCATTGGTAAGGCCACAGCTGGAGTACTGTATCCAGTTTTGGATACCACACTTCAAGAGGGATATTGATAACCTTGAGAGGGTCCAGAGGCAGGCCACTCATACGGTTAGGGCCCTGCAGGAAAGGTCCTACAAGAAGAGATTGAGGGACCTGGATCTCTTCAGCCTCCATAAAAGAGAAGGCTGAGAGGGGATCTGGTGGCCATCTACAAATTCAAATTTGGGGAGGGGGGGCTCCAAGGTATAAGAGATGCTCCATTTACCAGTGTGCCCCTTGGAGTAACTAGAAAACAACAGCCAAACTGATAAAAAACAGATTTAGACTAGCCATGAAGACGAACTTCTTTATGGTAAGGGTGACCAGAGTCTGGAACAGGCTTCCAAGGGAGGTGGTGCTCTCCTCTACCTTGGAGGTCTTTAAGAGAAGGCTGGACATGCACCCAGCTGGCATCATTTGACCCCAGTACTCTTTCTTGCCCAGGGCAGGTGTTCAGACTCAATGGCCTACTGAGGTCCCTTCCGACACTAAAAAAAAAACCCAAAAAAAAAACTATTCAGTGGCAGACTAGTTCCATCTGAGCACTTAAATGGTCACCAACATTATCCTACTGCAGTGCCTTCTACCTGGCACCCGTGAACGGAGTGGAGGAAAGGATACGACTGATGGAACTGGGCTTATTTAGTCTAGAGCAGGGGTCATCACCCAGAGGTACAGGTACCCCTGGGGGTACTGCACGGATACTTGTACCTCTGGGTGACAACCCCTGCGGGGTGGGGAGGGGTATGGTGGTGGCCGCGTGCGGAGGGGGCAACAGCATGGGGTAGCTGGTGGTGCCGTCAGCCACCATGTGTGAGGTGCTGGGGTTCTCGAGAGCAGGGGACCTCAGTGCCCAAGATGAGTGGTCGTTCCTTAAGGAGACGATACTTGGGGCCCAAGGGGTGACCATCCCAACAAGAAGCAAGGGGGGCAGGAGTGCCTGAAAGCCCCCCTGACTAACCAAGGGTATACGGGAATGCCCGATTGCCAAAAAGGCGGCATACAACCGGTGGAAGGGGGGTGCTATCTCCAAAG